TTATGGGAGGGTAGCTAGATAAGATGACCGGTAAGGGTTCTTTTCACCGAGAGGCTATGATTCAGCCAGGGCCTGGGCCCTGGAGAAGGGAGGATCAGAACTAGAGTGCTAAGCTCGCTCGCCCCCAGGGCCAGGCAGGGCATTAACAGGAGGGCTGCAGGGCTGGGTGGGCGCTACTGCTGCTCGGCTCTGCTCAGAGAGGGGCCCTGCATCGCCAGATTGTCTGATTTTTTTTTCAGAAGCCAGAACTCTGGATTTTTATGTGAAATATCCTGACCTTTAAATGTTGGCAATCAGTTCAGAAAATGTAAAAACCCAAAATGGAAGAGAATGCCAGTTTGTAATCTCTGAAGTAGAGAGAGCTGGTGCTGGGTAGAAGTCCACTGAGACGCTTTGAGGTGGAAATCGCGAAAGTTCTAGGCTTCCCAGGGCGGGCTCGCTGCTGAAGCCGGCCCATGTTTGTCTTCCTCACTCTCCTAGCAGACCAGAGACCCACCCGGTCACCAGCAGGGGTGGAGTGGAGATTGCGCAACTCCCAGCCTGCTAGGGAGATGGATGGGGAGATGGATGGGGCGAAAGAGGGAGGGAGGGAGACAGGATGCCTTTGCAAATGTGAGTGCCCATCAGGGAAGCACCAGAGGCTGGCAGCTCTTCACACCAGCAGCTTTGGGCCCAGAGCCAGGCCCAGCAGGAAGCCAGATGGGCAGTCCCTTGGGTTCCTCAGGGGTCACCAGGCCCTGGGGAGGCACCTAACCTGCACCTGGACTGTACCCCAGCCAGGTCAATTCAAGGGCCACTGTGACCCCTGACTCACCATCCCATCCCATCCCATTCCAGTTCTCAGGGAGTGGAGTGGTGGTCCCCACGTTCCCCACATTGGCCTGAGGCAGAGATGGCTCCCTTTGGGAGGTGTGCAGCTGAAAAGGAACGAGGCCTTTTCCAGGTCTGTGGTTGCCTCGTGCAAGCCACTCATCAGCAGGGGAGGGGACTCAGACACCCCTGTAGAGCCCAGGGTTTGAGGGAAGGCGTGTGAGAGGGGATTGGGGTCAGGGAGACGGGAGGAAACTGCTCAACCCACAGGCTCCTTTGCCAAAGCCATCTGGGGAGAAGGAAGTGGAATGAGGCCCACCCCTGTTGCTGCCTGCAAGAGGGAGCTGATCACCCTGAGCTCATAGCCCCCCGCACTCCCTTTCCTCGCTGAGCCCTCGGCCAGTGGAGGCCAGCACAGGATACAGCGGTGCTTTGTAATTTCTGTTTAACATTTTCTCTTATGTAGCAACCCCTCCTCCCCTCCTGAGCGTGTTTACACGGGCTCTGCTCCCTGGGGCCAGCCTGACTGCAGAGGTTCTGGGGAGGCAGAGGCAAGGACTTTGGGGCCTTAGTCACCATCCCTGGTTTCACCTCATCTCACTTCCTGTGAGGAACAGGGGCCTGGCTCCTGACTCAGGACTGCCTTCCAGCACTCGGTGGGGGCTCCTCTGCCCCCAGCAGTGGGGCGGGGGAGCTGCTGGCCTAGGAGGCCCCAAGGTGAGGTCAGAAGAAGCTGTTTAATGAAGGTGGGTCGGGGTGGCAGTGACTGTTCCCCAAAGCCCAGCTCCCTGTGCTCAGTGCTAGCTGAGAACACTGGGAAACTGGCTTCAGAGCCTTCCTGCCCACCTGCCAGTCCTCTCCCTCCCATGGCCTCAACGCAGTCTTGTTCCCTCACCCATCGCGCCAGGCCCCATCCTTCCTGGCCGTGGCCACATGGGGAGGGTAGCAGCCCCCTGGCCTGGGTGCCATGAAGCCGAGGGCCAGGGTTCCAAGGAGCAGAAAGGGCCATAGGTCAGCTGTGTCTGGTTTCGGGTCCTGTCAGCACACGCCCCATTCCTTCCATCTCAAACTTGACCTTCTGGCTCTGAGATGGGGTCCAGTTCTGGTCAGCAGCGTGCCCAGAGGCCCATGTGTCTGTGTGCACCTGGGTCTCCTGCCTGGGTGGCTTTCTGGCTTCGATGCACCAACATCCTAGGGCCCACCTTCTGGCCTCGGAGTACAGGAGAGTGCAAGCTGGGCCGGCATACTGTGTTCTTTGTGCCGGAGCAGCCCTGCGCAGAAAGCTCCATTCGTGCCCGCTGAGAAGCCAGCTGAAGGGTGGGAGGGGCCACCCCAGGCCAGGCAGGGCTGCTGCGGGTGCTAGGTGCAAGCCCGTCAGTGTTGACCGCCTTGCCACATCCTGGTGCTCCTGAGTCCCAAGTTCCCCTTTCTCTCGGGTGTGCTTGGCCCAGGGGCCTGGTGATGGGGGCCGCCCCTCCCTTAAGCTTTGTGTTGGGCTGCCTGTGGGACCAGACTTTGTCCTTCCTGCTCTTCCTGTGTCAGAATTGCCCCTCCTCTCTCACTGTTACACCCCTCTCATTGCTGTGCTCACTTTTTTCCTGAAATGAATAAAGGCTCCCCGGCTCCGGTTGCACGGGCTGGGCAGAAACCACATGGAAGCCTTGTCTCCTTCCCCCTGGGAGCTGGGGCTAGAGCCCACCCCTCCCACCAGTGTCAGCCTCGGTGGCTGCAGGAAGAACCTGACCAGAAATGAGGGGAGCCCCAAACCAGCCTACAGGAAAACCTGAGGCCCCTGCAGTCGTGAAACTTCTGGGGTTCCAGACCATCACCCTCAGCCTGCCTAAGCCACTCTGCTCTTGTTAATCCTAGCCTGGGAGATCTTTCCTGCTGGCTGGAAATGAACCCTTCTCCTTCACACAGCCAGCCTGAGCCCCGCAGGCCGGCATCTGCTCCTCCCATCCCAGTTCCCAGCAGCCCCCGGGGAACTGAGGAGGAAGGAGTATTCCCCTAGGAGGAAAGGTTATTTGAGAAAACCACAGCAACAGGGATCTGAAGTCCCTGCTCAGCAGTTACCCACAGTCTCAGCACAGAATCTATGGTGGCTAAAGCCACCGCCTTGGAGAACACCTCTGGTTCCACCCATCACCCTTGCTCCCTCCGGCTCTGGGCCCCTTCCCATGCTTTAAGACTAGCCCAACCGTGGCAACCAGACTTGTAGACCCCACAGCTTTAGGGTTTCACCTGTACCCTTCTTTCCTCTGCTCTCCTTTCATTCAGCTGAGAGTAAAACCTGAACTTGTAAGAAGAGGTAGGGTATTTCCTCCTCCTTATTCCAGCCAATCCTCGTAAGGTCCTACGCTAAACAGCAAGACTCGCTGACTTTCAGGGGCGTGGTTGTAAAGCATGGCAGCTCAGAAGAGAGACAGCCTGCTGGAATCCATGAACGTCTTAGACTGTAGAGCATCCAGAGAGAGGCAGTTTTGCTACTTACAGGCTCATTTAAGTCCAATTTAAATGATACCCAAAAAAGACCTTTCAGTAAAGATAACCAGAATCTGTGAATAATGTGGATTGTACACCTTTACCCAAAGGCAACATTATAATGTACACATTCAAGTCCAGCTAAAATACCCAGTCAAGGGCCTGCGGGTAGACTTCAGTGACATGGGCTCATTCATCGCGGGGCCCCTGGATCGCTGGTGTACAAGTGAGGGCTGGGTCAGTGCTGGGACCAGAGTCCATCATGAGTTCAGCAGGCTCATTGTGGACACTGCTTAGAATTGGCAGAGAGGTAAATATCATTGTGGACTTCCGGGAAGATCAGGACCCAACTTATGGGGGAGAGGGGTTACCTCATTTCCTGCTGCTCTGTTTCTTCCTGGCTCTCAGCATGTCTCGGCCTCATTTAGGCACATGACTAATTTGTTTTGGACTTTTGGATGCAGGTGGCATTTCTTGGATCCCTGAACATGAAGAGGTGGAAAGCCCTGTCACCCCCATCTGCCAGGATCTGACCTCTTGACCACCACTCTGGAGGGCAGTGGTGACAAGAAAAAGTGGTCATAGCAAAGACCAAAACAACTGGCCCTGAAGCGGACTGCCTGGTAACCCTTAGAGTTTGCCAAGGGGGTGAGGGGACCAGCTGCTGAGGCTTGACAGGTGGTGGAGATGGGCCACCTCAGGTCGGCTGGAGGGACAGCTCTCTGGGGATATGCATTTCCTCCAACCCCCAACAAGAAAGGGCTTGGTCGTGGAAAAGATGAAACCTCCCAGAATTTAAGTGTAGAGGCTCCAGTCTTCTCTCCACAGCTGTGTGCGGCCTCAGCAGCAGAGGACCTGAGGAGGGATGGGGCCGAAGGCAGAGTTGCCTTGGAAACACATTCAGTTCACATTCTCCTAACCGGGGTGAGAGCTGACCTCACCAGGCTCTCATCTGGCTGGTCCTTGCCTAGAACAGTTTTGCTTTGCGCGTTTGCTCAGGAGGGGGGAGGCGCACCAGGATGAGGCTGGAAGTGTCGGGCCGCAGGTCCACCCTCTCCTCAGGTGGAAACTACAAGAGGGGCCTCCCTCCGACTCCTGGGAGGAGAGAGGCCACACTGTGCATTACATAACCAATCAAACAACAACCCTCTGGTTAGTTGCTACACCAGGGCAGGAACTGGGGGAAAAAACAAAGTTTAAAGACAAAAGCCAGCAGCAGGCTGGTTGGTCATTTCCCTTCTCCCAGGCCCACCCCCCATGGGACTGCCTTACAAGAGAACCTGTCTCTCCTACTCCAGGAAAGGCTATGTTCTGAGGAGGGTGGAGTGTCAAGGAATAAAGCAAAGGAGATACTCAATTCACCTCTTTGGGAATTGTGTTTCCTCAGATATAAATAGAGGTAATATATGAAGACCTGCACTGCCACGTCCTAGTGTTGTCAACTGATAATGGACGTGGAAGTACTGTTTCAACTTAGTAAAAGTCTGTGCCAATGTCACGTGATCAGGAAACCCTCCAGGCCAGGAAGGGGTCTCTGGGGACACACCTCAAAGCTTAGAGCTGCAAAATAATGCCTCGCCCATGGGCAAACTACGCAGCCAGGCTGGGGGGAACTACCCACCCTCAATGCCTACCAATGATACTCTACAAGTCTTAGCATCCCTTGCTTGCCAAAGCCCAAACGACACAATTTCAGATCTGAAAATTCCTCACAAGTGGAAAAGATTATTACTTTAATTCCTATTTCACCAAGATATAAAACACAACAAGGAATGAACTTACCCACAGTCACCAAATGACCAGGCCAATATGACCAACTGGTGTTCCTTATGTTTTCGGCTGAGTCCTAACCCAGGTGGTTCAACAGAAGCACCAGGTAACTTTAAATAATTCAGATTCTCAGAGGCTGATTCAGAGGTATGGGGTCTGAGATTCTACTCAGGCAAGGCAGGAAGCCACACCTAGTTTCAGGGCTTCCCAGGGGCATGTGGGCTTCATGGACCTGCTGCAAAAGGAGACTGGAGGAAGACGAAAGTACCAGCAGAATGAGGCCCAGAAGGGAAACCTTCCCAGCAACAGATGGCCCACAGTCCAGCTCTGACTCCAGCATGCAAAAGAGATTATCAGAAATAGGCACTGAGCAAGAGGCAACTGCCATGCACACATCATGCCTCACGCAGCTGCCATGGCTTTGACCAAGAAAATGCTTCTCACCCTACGTTCCATTCAGACTCTCCTGAAATGCATGTGGACCAGGGGAAGATATGGTGGCAGCAGACGGAATGGGAATGAAAGCAGCTGAAGGAGCTGTCCTCTAGCTTGGTGAGGAGGGAGAAGAGAGCTGGACCCCAACAAAAGGCAAGCGAGGAGGCTTCTTCAGGCCCTGTTCCTCGCAGGCCTCAGAGCAGCAGGGATATGTGCCAATTATCACAGGGCCATTATACCTTTCTCAGGTCAAGCTTTAGTACCTGAGAACCCAGCCCAGGATCGGTCTCTTCCTCTCGCCCACCTCACTCTCCAGGCCTTCTCTCCCCCCTGCCTTTCAGGATCCTAACAAAATGATCAGCAGTAGGGGGGAAATGGTAAACCTTTATTTGGAAAAGAGAGCTTAAATGACCACTTAAAACCCCCATTTCATTTCCAAAACAGAAACAAATAAGAAAACAAGGAAAAGATCATCTATAAAACTCCCGCCCTCTGCCATCTTGAGGCATTTTAAACTGCATTTCCTGGCAGAAGAGAACAGTGATGGGCCATAGTCCTGAAAACCAAAAGGGCACTGACTTGAGACCATCTCAGGGGGTGCCCGGGGAGAGAGAAACACAATGAACGATGGGTAGGGTGTGGACAGGTGGGCCTGGGGCTCAGACAGGCACATGCCCAGGACCCAGGATACAATGTTCAAAAATACACACGCACAGATAAATTCCCCAGTACCTGGGCATGGAAAGCTTATAACCATGAACACAGCAGCAGAATTCAGGCGGGGTCTTTGGCTTTCAAAACAAGGGGGAGAGAACCTCTGGCTAATTGTCCCTAATCTAGCCTCTCCGCCATTCCCTTCAGTCCCATTCCGGAGGCCGAGTGGGGCAGCAACAAGGCTAATCTGCAGAGACCAGCAGCTGTTCTGAGTTGAGGGAGGTGTGAGGAGCTGCCGGCCCAGGAGCACCCAGGCTGCACCCCAGCTATGAAAGATTAAGGCATGCAGGTGATACATGTGGGCAAGGGGCCCCCCGAACGGGCCAGGGTGGCCCTGTGCTAGGAAGAAAAGCCCTGGCAATGAGCAGCTGAGGCCTTGCTGGCCAGAACAAATCCTAAAGCACCGCCCCCTCGAGTTCTTGGACAGGTCTTGCCCAAGGCCACCTTCTGCAGAGAGGGTTTGGCCCCACCTAAGTATCAGGTTTTTTTAGGAGAAAATGGACAGGAATGGGGGAAGCAGCGAGGTATAAAGTCGTGGGAGGAAAGGAACAGAAGACGGCTTCGGAGGTGTGCAGAGGAAAGAGAACAGGTCCCTGAGGTCTTGGGTCCCAGCTGAAGTGGCCACACAGCCTGCCTGCTCTCACCGCTGCCAGGACTCCCACCCTTGCCCCAGTTCTGCAGGGAACAGAGTCCAGTAAGACAAGAGTTTCCTGAAGGTTCTTTCTAGTCCTTTAAACCTCAAACTCTTATTCCAGTCCACTCACCCCACACGGGCTCACACTGGCACCTCTCTCACAGTGGCCTGGGGAAAGGGACGAGCCCTAGAGAAAGCGTGCCAGGGCTGCGGGAGCTCTGGGTCCGAGGCTCAGAGGCTGCTGCGGCAGGCAGTGCAGCCCTGAATCTGCTGTTCCAGGCTATGAGGCCCATTCATTCCCAGCGGCCAGATGAGGATTATATACCCTGGATGGCATGATGAGCGCCTCATGAAACACAGGGGATAAAAGGGGAGAAGGGCCCATGCCCCTGCTGCTGCATGGCAGCACACAGCTACCAGGTCATGCCCTCGACCTGTCAGAAGGGCGACAGCCCCGGTGTGGAAAGTGGGCTGGTCAGATGCAGGCACAGCCGTACAGAGGAGTCCCACCCCGAGAGGACACATGCACGCTACACACCTCACATGTGTGTGCCTGGCAAGACGTCTGGGCCCAGAGGTCATGAAAGCAGAAAGAAGATTGGGTTAGAAGATACCATCAAGAAACGGCCTGAAACCAAATAACCAATGAGATCAATAGCTCCCACAACCCTGGTAATTAAAAATTAAGGGGGAACGCTGGATACATGGAAGGAAAGGGGAAACCACCCCCCTTCGGCCTCTCCCAGGACCACTGAGTATGTGGCACAGGATTAGGAAGAGGTTGGGGCGGGGCAGGGACCACAGGCAGAGAACGTGGACAGGCCTGGAGAAAATCTAACCATGGGAAAAGGGAAATGGGAAGGGGAGAGGAGGAGAGGGGACGTAAGTTTCTTGGATCTAAGTTGCCAGAAGCATGGGGTATTTCCACAGTCTCTGATCCAGTGAGCTCTTCTGGAAGAGAAGCTCTCTTCCCCTGGAAGCCCCATCATGGGGCGGTGACTTCCATCCCAAAGCTGGCCAGCAGGCAGAGGTGGTCTGAAGAGCAGAAGGGGTTGGGTAAGCCGTTGGCAGCCCAGAGAATCTCTTCAGAGAGGAGGGAGAGACGGCCCAGAAGCTTGAGAGTCCCATCTTGATACAGCCTGCGATCTGGGGCACAAAGCAGAAGCCAGTGGGGAAAGTAGCCACAGCCACTACACGGGGTGGCTGGGGCCTGTGGGAGCTATGCTGTATGGAGGCTGCATCCCCTTGGCTCCCCCGCCCTCCCTCACCTCCCCCTGCTGCCTCTGGCTGAGGCCTCACTTTCTCAGATACTCTGTGATATATCAATGAATGAAGCAGGGTGTTTTCAGGGAGAATGTGGCAACCGGAGAATGTGTGCCCAGGCCCAGCATCTATGAAAACTTCGGATTTTCCGAGAAAAGCTGGAAATCCAGATTTTCTACATAAAATCTGATTTTTTAAACATAGGGAATCAATTCAAACATTTTAAAAGACATGCTTTAAATAAAACAGGCATGCAGCTGGTAGGCTGCCACACTGTGACTGCCGGTAGAGGGTGAAGAAACAAGAAATAGGGTCTCTAACCTAACCAAGTCCCTCACTAAATGGCTGCCATGTTCAAAATCCACTTGCCTCCTGGTGCCCTATTTTTACCTCTTAAATAGAGGTAGGGCTGGTTCTGCCCACCTCTCTCTAATGCTGCAAAGATAAAAAGAGAAGGCAGGCAAGTGGCCTAAGGGAATTATGATGAGGATGACCAGTGCTAGGAAGGTATGAAATTTGCTCTTTTGCGAGTCTGCTCTTTTGCCAGCAGCCCAAGCCATGTGACCAAATGCCTGCCCTACCATCAGCTGTTCCCAAGGACGTCTGAGGATGGCTTCTATGAACCCAGGATCCATAGGCTTACCAGTTCTGTTCCCATTCTTCCAGGACTCAGCTGAGAAGAAGATGTAATCCACTGTCGTTCCAAGACCCAAGGGCATTGTGGTGACCTCTGGGCGGCCATGCTGGGGCAGGAAGTGAGTATATACTGAGGTCAGGTGAAGGCAGTGCTGGATGGTGCCTACAGTCCTGCAGGGATGAAGGGGAAGAGGTCAGTCAACAAACACTGAAATTTTCTCAAAGTCACTTCCTCTATGGGTTTTATAGTTTTTAAGGGACAATCCCAAATAACTCTATCTCAGCAGATTCCTTCCCATGCTAGTAAGAGGCAAATGGTCTTAGCTAAAATTAGCCTAGAAACAGACACATTTATATGCAGTCCCCCTGACCTTCCTCACCCCACCCCCACCCCACTCTCCTCTCATTACCTGGTAAAGTATACCTAATGTACCCTGTGCAGGGGTCAGCAAGTTCTTCTGTGAAGCCTTACTCCCTGAGGAAAAGTGCATGGGCTCTTCATCTGCAAGAACCTAGGTGGGTCACCTCTGGCCTCTGCATACCAGCCCTTCCAAAAGCTTAGCATGTATTAGGAGAAGAGAGACCTCAGCAAAAAGTGCCTCAGGAAAGCCAATGAGAATCTTTCTCATTCACCCAGATGGGGGCTGGAAAGCAAGCTGCAGGGAACTGGAAGAAAGATCACCTGGGGAAGACAGGCTCAGGCTCCAAAGTGTCTTCCTCAAGGACAGACTGGGCCCAGCCAGCAGGTCGCTCTGTAGAAGACCAGAGAGAAAAGGTTTTATTATTCCCAGACAGTGAAGCAGGGTCAGAACTTTGCACCCTGGAATCCCTCTCAGATCCTTGACCAGATAGCTCCAAAAGGGGAAAGGGGAAGAGAAGAGGTGATGGGACGAAGAAAACAACAGATCAAAGTTGTAGGAAGGCAGATAGAGACCTTGAATGCAGCCATTTCTTCCTTGGCTCAGCACCTTTTCAAATAATTTATTTAAATTTATTCTTTAGAAATAAATTTATTTCAATTTATTCTTTAGGTAATAGAGTCACACGGTACAAAAATCAAAATGTAGAGAAAAATATCAGTGAAGTCTCCCTCCCGCTCCGGGGCTCCTGCCACTCAATTTCCCTCTCCAGAGGCAACCAATATTACCAAATCCCTGTCATATTCCTTCAGAGATTTTCTGTCACATACCATCAGCTGTGTGTGTATACATGTATGTGTGCATATACATATGTGTGCACACTATGTAACATGTATGTATACACTCTTAAATACACATAAATAAGTACACACACATACATGAAAAAAAATACACATTTCCGGTGACCTTATTATGGACTGAATGTTTGTGTCTCCCCCAAGTATGTTGAAATCCCACCCCCCAGTGAAACGGTATTTGGAGGTGGGCCTTTGGGAGGTAATTAGGTACCCTTGTGTACTGGATTAATGCCCTTATAATAGGTTTGGATCCCAGAGAGCTCCCTCACCCTCTTTCTGCCACATGAGGACACAAGAAGTTAGCACTCAGCAACCCAAAAGAGGGCCCTCACCAGAACTGGATCATTCTGGCACCCTGATCTTAGACTTCCAGCCCCAGAACTGTGAGAAATAAATTTCTGTGGTTTATAAACCATCTAGGCTGTGGTATTTTGTTATAATAGCCCAAACTGACTATGACAACAGGGTAACAAGGATCAACAAAATTGACAAACCCTTAGCTAGACTGACCAAGAAAAAAAAAGACTCAAGTTACTAAAACTAAGAATGAAAGAAGGGCCACCACTACCAACCCTATAGAAATTTTTAAATTATGAGAATAATATAAACAACTGTGAACAGGGTGAATAGGTGGAGATTTGGGGAGAATAGCATGCCTAGAGAGGGCATGGAAGCTTCCCAAATACCTTGCCCTATGCGTCTCTTCCATATGGCTTGTTCCTGAGTTTTATCCTTTTATAATAAATGGGTAATCTGGTGAGTAAAATGTTTCCCTGAATTTTGTGAGCCATTACAGCAAATTAATTAAACCCAAGGAAGGAGAGGGTCATGGGAACCTCTGATTTATAACAGCCAGTTGGTCAGAAAGTACAGTTAACAACCTGGACTTATGACTGGTATCTGAAGTCCAAGAAGGGGGTTGTTGGAAACACAGGCTGGGCTTGTGACTGGTGTCTGAAGTTGGGGAGTGGGGAAGTCTTACAGGACTGAGCCTTTATTTCATCTGTGGAATCTGGTGCTATCTCTGCGTAGATGGTGTCAGAATTGAATTGAGTTTAACCCCCCCTCTTCTCCATGTTGAATATTAAGTCTCCGAACACCAAAAGAACAATATAATAGCAAACCAAATCCAGCAAAATATAAAAATGATTATATACTGTGACCAAGTACAATTTATCCTAGGAATATAAGGTTGGTTTAACATCTGAAAATCAATTAATGTAATATATTAATAGAATACTGAAGGATAAAAAACACATGATCATCTGAACACACACAGAAAAACCATTTGACAAAATTCAACACTGCTTTACGGAGGGGAAAAAGCAACATAAAAAACTAGACACAGAAGAGAACTTCTCCAACAGGATAAAGGGAATCCACAAAAACCCCAGGGCTCACATCATACTTAATTCACAACACACTTAAAAGCTCTACCCCTAAGATCAGGAAAACAAGGATGTCCACCCTCACCACTCAACTTTAGAGAGGCCTAGCCAGAGCAATCATGGAAGAAGAAGAAATAAAAGGCATCCAGATTAGAATGGAAGAAGTAATGCTAGTTCTGTTTGCAAGATGACATGATCTTTTATACAGAAATCCTAAGAAATCCACTAAAAAACTACTAGAATAAATGAGTTCTCAAGACTGCAACATATAAGAATATACAAAAATTGCATTTCTATACACTAGCAGTAAAAATCCAAAAATGAAATTAAGAAAACATTTCCATTTACAATATCATCAAAATGAATAAAATAGTAATAAAGTTCACAAAAGTGTAAGACTTACACACTGGAAACAAAACATGGGAAGAAATTAAAGATCTAAATAAATGGAAAGACATTCATGTTCACTGATCATAAGATATTATTATTAAAATGGTAATACCTCCCAAACTGATCTATAGATTTCTAGATCCCTATCAAAATCCCAACTAGTTTCTTTGCAGAAATTGACATGCTGATCCTAAAATTCATATAGAAATAAAAGGGACTTAGAATAAACAAAATAATCTTGAAACCCCACAAAGTTATAGAATGTATACTTCTCTATCTCAAACTTATACAAAGCTGAAATAAGACACTGTGGTACTAGCATAAGGATAGACATATAGTGAACGGAATAGAACTGAGTGTCCAGAAACCTGTATGGCCATGTTCAATTAATGTTTCACAAGGGGAGGGGTGAATGGACAATGACTGCTAATAGATACAGGGTTCCCTTTCGGGAGGGATGCAAATGTTCTACAGTTAGATTGTGGTGATGTACACACAATTCTGAATAGAATAAAAGCCACTGGCTTACACACTTTAAGTGGGTAGATTTTATGGCATATGAATTTCATCACAATAAAGCTGTTTTTTTAAATAAAGGGTAAAGGAATGTTATGGACAACTTCATGCCAACAAATTTAATAATTCAGATTAAATGGAAGATTCCTTTATATACATTTTCCCAGTTGATTTTTTTGTTGTTGTTGGTATTATAAATAGGGTCTTTTCTTCATTATTATCTTTTAACAAATATATCATTTTTATATATGAATACTATTGTATTTCTGTATATTCATATTGTACCAGCTACTTTCCAGAATTACCTTAATGCTTGTAATAGTTGTTAGTTGATTGGATCACCAGTTATCTAACAACCTGAGCAAGTAATTAACCCTTCCCCTCCATTTTGTTACTTCTGTTTTCTGACCCACATTTCTGTTTCTAAATCTGTTGGCTGGCATCTTTGAATATGGCTGAATGACGACAGTGGTCATCCTTGTCTTATTCCTGACTTTGACAGGAATGCTACTACAGTGTCTTCTTTAAGCCAGATGCTAGTATGTGGAGCTGAGATAAATGTGGTTTGGTTTTGGTTTTTAATCTACAGGCCTGCAGCGGCTCCACTCCCCTCCTCCTGCTCCTCACCTCTCCTGTACATTGTTGCCACCATGCACTCTGACTGACCAAGATCATTTTAATGGTGTAAGGGATTAAGGGCAAACCTCAAAGACAAGGTGGGTTCAATCCCAGACCATGGCAATAAAGTAAATATACCAATAAAGCCAGTCAACTGAATTTTTTTGGTTTCCCAGTGCATATAAAAGTTACGTTTATACCATACTGTAGTCTTTTAAGTGTGTAATAGCATTGTGTCTAAAAAAAATGTACATACCTTAATTTAAAAATATTCTATTGCTAAAAAATGCTAACCATCACCCGAACTTTCAGCAAGTCATAATCTTTTTGCTGGTGGAGGGTCTTGCCTCAATGTGGATGGCTGCTGACTAATGAGGGTGGTGGTTATTAACGATTTCTCTGTAGCATGCAATGCTGTTTGATAGCATTTTGTCCAGAGAACTTCTTTCAACATTGGCGGCAATCCTCTCACACCCTGCCACTGCCTTATCAACTAAGTTTATGTAATATTCTAAATCCTTTGGGGGCGCCTGGGTGGTTCAGTTAAGTGTCTGACTCTTGGTTTCAGCTCAGGTCATGATCTCAGGGTCCTGGGAATCCGCTTGGCGGGGAGTTGGCTTGTCCCTCTCCCCCCCTCCCCCCCACCTCGCTCATGCTCTCTCTCCCTAATAAATAAATAAAATCTTAAAAGAAAAAGAAGCAACTCCTCATAAATTAAAGTTTTATCCTGCGTTGCAGCAATTCAGTCCCATCTCCAGGCTCCACTGCTCATTCCAGTTCTCTTCCTGTTTCCACCACATCTGCAGTTACACCCTCCATTGACGTCTTGAACCGCTCATAGTCATCCCTGAGGGCTGGAATCAACTTCTTCCAAACTCTTGTTAATTAATGTTGGTATTTTGACCTCTTCTCAGGAGTCACAGATGCTCTTAGCGGCATTTGGAACAAGGAATCCTTTCCAAAAGGTTTCAATTTACTCTGCCCAGATCCATCAGAGGAACCACTATCTGTGGGAGCTATAGCCTTACAAAATGTATTTCTTCAATAATAAAACTTGAAAGTCAAAATCATTCCTTGATCCATGGCCTTCACAATGTATACTATGTTAACAGGCATGAAAACAGTTAATTTTGTACATGTCCATCAGAGTCTTGGGTGACCAGGTGCACTGTCAATGAACGATAATATTTTGAAAGGAATCTTTTTTTCTGGGCAGTAGGTTTCAACAGTGGGCTTAAAATATTTAGTACATCATGTTGCAAACAGATGTGCTCTCATCCAGGCTTTGCTGTTCCATTTAGAGAGCACAGGCAGCATAGATTTAGCATAATTCTCAGGGCCTTAGGATTTTTGGAATGGTAAATGAGCACTGGCTTCAGCTCGAAGTCACCAGCTGTGTTAGGCCCTAACAAGAGAGTTAGCCTATCCTTTGAAGCTTTGAAACCAGGCACTGACTTCTCCTCTTAAGCTATGAAAGTCCCAGATGGCATCTTCTACTAATAGAAGGCTGTTTCGTCTACTTTGAAAATCCATTAAGTGTAACCACCTTAATTATTTTAGCTGGATCTTCTGGATAACTTGCTGCTTCACCTTGTACTTTTATGTCATGGAGATGGCTTCTTGC